ATCCAGTGGCTACGACTGTCATAAATAAAAACAAAATGTAAAGAAAATTTGTCATTCTTGCTCTTGCAACATCTTGAGTGTCTTCACTCAAGATCTTGAAATTTCTTAATACAAGATCTTGGCCAAGATCTTGAGTGACATATTCAAGAATCCAAGATCTTGAAATTTCTTAATCCAAGATCTTGGCCAAGATCTTGAGTGAAAAATTCAAGAATCCAAGATCTTGACTTCTTGGTGTTTTTTCCAAGATCTTGTGACATTTCTTAACCCAAGATCTTGTGACATTTCTTAACCCAAGATCTTGGCCAAGATCTTGGGTACAAGAAGTTCCACCAGGGTTGTAAGATCTTGTTATCTGATTCTTGGACTTAGGATTCTCTCAATGAAGTATACAGTGCACTGCATACTTACTGTCCATGGACAGCATGATAGTCGAAGTAGGGTATACAAAACGAATACACTCAGATGCATCATATGTGGGTGAATAGTATCACTCTACTGGGGGGTATAGCTCAGTGGTAGAGCATTCGACTGCAGATCGAGAGGTCCTTGGTTCAAACCCGAGTGCCCCCTGATTTTACTTTTTTCATTCTATTTTCCTGTGCTACGACTATTGTTTAACATTGTGTTGAATACACTAAACAGCACATTGAGAACGCGGAATCCTTTGTAAACTTTTTAGTCCTTTTAGTCTTCGCTGAGTATATTGACAGAGGAAAAGGTGGTAATCGAGTCTTATGTATTCCAGAGATCTTCCAAAAGATCCAATTTGATGAAAATATCTTGTATTTTGTGTAATTCAGTCATGTTTTAGTACGTCAGAAAATATATATCTTTCGAATCATCAAATATAATATGATGTCTTAGTTGAACTATTGAAAACGAAAGCTTTTCTTATTTTCTGAAGAACACTCTGAGTGATCTATTCATGTAAATAAATCAAAGGAACAGACATCCTCTAGGTAACGTGTACTGGTCCGCTAACGGCCAGTTCATGAATCGTTGATGATCACCCAAAAGACGGGCCGTTAACGTTAGCATAAATTACTGGTTTTAAGAACATCAATCAACGGTCTAAAAACGGATCGTTCACTGGAATGATCGAATGGAGCACGTATTGTATATCGCAAAGCGATCGTTTTTACACCGTTTTTTGTGGACAGAAAAGAGACCGTTAACAGCCTCCACTTTTAGGCCGTTTGGTCGACAAGACATTCGTTTCCTTCATTTCACTATCACTATTAGCAGATACATGTAAAATTAATGTTCTGCGAATAATTTATATTTTTTCTCGTCTTTCTATATACAAGTCAACAAAATTTCATTAGAGGGAGTGACCTTTCCAGGACTTCTTACTGCAGATAGTACCTTGACCTTAGGACTAGTGCTAACATCACAATAATAAAAGCATGTCAGGAACACTATTTTAACGGACGGAAGTAAAACAAATTTATTTATGAAACGTTCATAAAACCGTCAGTTAACGGTGAAACTAGTCTGTAAAAAAAGACTGTAAACGGACCGTTTTTTGATCGTTAGACCGGTCTTAGCGGCCTCAAAACAACCCGCTAAGGAGACGGTTATGATCCATTAACCGGCAGTTAACATCTCATTAACGATCGTTTTCGTAGACCTGGAAAGTTAGGTTTTTAGCCACTCTCTTAGAAACTTTCTTTTGAATGAGATCTGTACTCTTACCTATCAATTGGTCAAAACTGCAGTTGATTATCTACCTTCTTCTAGAGCTATTCTGAATATAACTGAATTAATCTTTTATTAAATGGATAGTAGCCACTACACTCTATTTTGAAAAATGATTCCTGACATCCGTCCACTTGAACTGTGTTCATACCAATAAATTATTATTAAACTGGAGACAGGCTGTCTTCTGAGAAGAACAAAATGGATAATTGTTTGTTACGACAGTTGGAAATGCATGTTTGCGCTAATTTTCTGTTTAGTTTCGTCACAGGAAGACATCGGATGCTGCTGTAGCTGAGCATGAAGCAAAGGATGGGGTAATAATGAAAAAAAAACGTATGCTGAGATATTAGCGTTTTCAATCATTTTTTAGGAACAGAGTCACGAATGGGATCGACCAATAGAATTTGTGTTCTCACTTATTAGTAATTCCGTGGGTTTAGGAAACGTTTGGAGATTTCCATTCTTAGCAGCACAAAATGGCGGTGGTATGCTGTTTTCTCATTACGTCTTAGCAACATGTGACATATGTGCAGTTTTTCCGACTTTTAGGTGCATTCTTGATACCTTATTTCATATTATATTTCCTGATTGGAGCACCATTATATTATTTAGAATTAGCATTGGGTCAATTTTCTAGTCGTGGACCAGCTAAAGCTTTTATGCTCGCTAAAGGATGGCAAGGAGTTGGTTTTGCAATGATTATTAATGCAGTGTTTACAATGCTGTATTATAATGTGGTTATTAGTTGGGCACTATTCTATTTTATTTTATCATTTCGAAAAAGATTACTATGGGCTGATTGTGGGTATTGGTGGAATACGTGTGCTTGTTTTGTGCCAGGTACATAAATTCGGTGTTTAGAAATGTCTGTTAGAAGACTCATATTATCCCTTCTTCTACAATATGGTACTCTAGTAAGAAACTTGCTCGATTCTTGCTAAGATCGTGAAATCCAAAACAGTCTAAGATTCGTTAAGATTTTGCTTAGATCTTATTAAACCTTTGTTTATCAGCGTCCCTAATTCAGGACGCTTTTTTAAAGTTTCTGAGTTTCCGAATAAGTCGCCACCGCAAAAAGATATCGAGATGGGACAATGTAGTTTTGTCTGCTGATCTCTACTATATTAGGCTGAGTGCGACGTCTTCTTGACAATATCTTACCTATGGATATTTTCTCCCTAATTTTTCATTACCATATTTTTACACGATTATGGCAAACATTAACCACAGAAGATATGGTAGAATGGACGACCCTTGGTTCCTCACCCTTCCCTCCATATGTATGTTTCAATAACGGCGGATGCTCATTTTCAATGAATATCTCGAATCATACAATAGGTAACTCTTATACTTTGCATGAATAATCTAAAGACATTTTAGAGTATCTGGTACTATTTTGAAGTGAAAATAATATTCCTAGGCTGAATTATGAATTTTTTTGGATAAGGGTCTCACACTTCAAAAGTGACTCCCGATCGTAAAATAGTTGTATTTCAGTAACTATTAAGAGCTAACACTTCAAATTTAGGAGAGGCAATGCTACATTTTGGTAAAAAGGAAAAGCTTTCACCTCTCTTGGATCAGGAGTTATCGGCATTTTACGGAAAAGAAATGGAACGCTTACATCTCACGAACTATCTAGTAAAAGAGGCTCAGACTTGGCGGATGATCAGCATTTGGTAAGAGTTATGATCACACATAATTAGAAGTCCCTAGCTATCATAGTCGAGAAATGGTACTCAAAGGGTTAAGAATAATTTATATTTTATCTTAGATTTTTTCAAACTTGAGTGGGAATCTATTAGTATCTTACTTTTTGTTTGAAGAATGAAAAGAAATTTTATATTTTTTCGCGTTCGATTCTAGACCTTCACTTGCACTGTACTTTGAAAAGTTGTTCGATACTTTGGAGAAGAGAGGAAATACGAGCCTAATCTGAAAAAGAACAGTGTAAAATTTAGCTATGTTTGCACTGTTTACTCATATACATGTATGAGAACAAAACAAAAGAATAAATGAAAATAGTCCTCAAATCTAGATCATAACTAAGATCTTAGATTATCAAGATCTTAAAAGCTAAGATAATACAAGATTATACTAAGGTAATTTTAAGAAGTGTCTGAGGTTCTTACTAGGGCAACGTTGAATGCTGTTTTAGGTGGTGCTGGTCGACCACAAAATTGTTCAGGTGAGAATATAACAATAGATGGGACATTTAACAATGCAACGATTAGAACTCCTGCAACAGCTGAATTTTACAAGTATTATAAACATTCACTGATTTCCTTATCATTAATTTTTGATTATTTTTGTTTATTGTTCTACAGTATACTGTTATTGGGAAAAAGCAAAGGTTTTGAAGATTTTGGTGTACCTGGTCGGTATTATGCACCCGCCCTATTAGGTGCGTGGATTATCGTATGTTTGTGCATTATAAGAGGTGTTAAATCATCAGGAAAAGTATGTTTCCTATAATCAAAAATCATTCACCTAAAGTTTTAATTCATTTTAGGTCGCTTATTTTACTGCTATATTTCCCTATATTGTATTGCTTATATTAATCATTCAAAGTGCAACATTGAAAGGAGCTGTTGATGGAGTGAAATTTTATATTATTCCAAGACTAGCAAAAATTGGAGAATTTTCAGTATATTTATTAAGATGATCTTGAAATTACTATAAGTACTTTGTTGTTGCATTTTCTTTTAGACGTGGCAGGCAGCCGCTGCACAAGTATTTTTTTCATTAGGTTTAAGTTTTGGCTCTTTAATTGCATATTCGAGTTCAAACAAGTTTAATAATAATTTTTTCCAGTAAAAAAATTCTTGTTCACATTTTCATCTTATGAGTTGTTATTTGATTTATTCGTTTTAGACAAATGTGTATTGTTGTATCTTGCGATTGTTTTACTGGTGTGTTTGCTGGATTTGCTGTCTTTTCAACAATTGGATTTTTGGCAAAAGAAATGGGTACCACTGTTGCACATTATGCAGAATCATCTGGTCCCGGTCTAGCATTTATTACATATCCAGAAGCTATTACAAAAATGCCAGCAAGTCCATTTTTTGCCATTATATTTTTTCTCATGTTATTGGCACTTGGTCTTGGATCACAGGTACTATTCATATATAGTTATTTTTCTTATAAGTATTAACTGTCACAATGTTTGAACGTCATATAGTTTGCTTTGACCGACGTACCAATTACGTCTTTATGCGAATTATATCCAAGATTAGCAAATAAACGACCTTATGCTGTTATTTTCACGTGTCTTGTATCGTATCTTATCAGTTTACCATTTACTTGTCCGGTATGAATACCTTGAACGAGAAAGAAAAAGATATTCTAGTAGAAATTAGTTGTTTTAGGGTGGCTATTATTGGTTTGAACTTATACAAGAATATGCAGCTGCTTTATCAGTCATTGTTGTTGGATTCTTCGAAGTTATTAGTATTTCTTATATTTATGGTATGTATAAGAACAACTTTTTTCTGAATTATATGCTCAGTGGTATTTTTTTGTTTAAAGGTTTTAATCGTTTTATGAATGATGTTAAAATGATGTTAAAAAAACGTGCAGCAGAATATTATTTATTTTTAACTTGGAGAATAACAGCACCACTTCTCATGCTAGTCGGTTTGAAATAGTATCACATTTTAATACGTTTATTTTATTGGGTCACTTTGTTCCTAGATTGTAACAGTATCAAATTTGATACAAGCAAAGCCGCTCAAAAGTGGCAATTATGTTTTCCCAACATGGAGTTTAGGTAAGCGTCAATATCGCGTGCAGATTAAGGCCCCTCCTCTTAGAAATGATAATTTGTATCAAAAAAATCAATTTGGAGACAAGCACATGGAAAGATAGCATGGAGTGCCTACTTTCAGAATCTGTATCGCTTTCGGACCTAGAACGTGTTTTTTGTGGTGTTCTAGGAACATTTTTTTTAATATAGTTCAAGCTAGAGATATCGGATTGCTTTTATTTTAAACTAGCCACCTAACTGCGTCGACGGACGGGAGCCGATTTTTGAATTAGGCCTTAGTTTTCTAAAAAATCAAGAATCTCCGATAAACCCGAAAGGTTTTTTTGAGTTTTTGAGGATCTTGGGTCTCTAGAAAACGAACAAAGGCCTAAATCAAAAATCTGGTCCCATCAGTCTACGCAGTTAGGTGTCTACTTTAAAATAAAGCAAACCCGAAATTTCTAGCTTAAAGTGTATTTAAAAAAGGTGTCCTCCAGTGGAGAGTGTTTTTTTACCTTGGACTCTGGGAAACCCCGAAATGGTAAGAGATAGGGAGGAAAAAATATTTCCTAACCACACTTGGTTATGGCAAATATTTGCCGAAAGTGTCATCAAAATCGGATGTAAGACCAAAAAGTTTTTTTCTGACGAGGGAACCGCCCCAGGTATCCGGCTCCGATTTCGTTCGTTCATACATCATTCGATAGAGGACCTCGAGTAGGCAAAAAGGCTAAAAGGATTTGGGCGGAGGGCCCTTTAAGACCCGGTTTTCTGGAAAACCAGTTTTTCAGAAAC